AATATCATTTAAGGAAGCTCAGTTTGAGAGGGCAGAAATAATTAAATAGGCATTCCATTCTCCCCTGATAGCTCCTGGAAGAAATTTTAAAGAGTGCAATCCTATACCTTCCCTTCTTTTTACTTCCGATTTTCCAACATACCCAAATGTCCAGACCATCTTCTTTACCAAAGAGCCTTACAAAACCCTCTCTAACACTCATGCTGTGCTCCAACTCGCTGCAAACCTCCAGACACACAGCCTTTACTCTTTTTACATAGATTGATTTTTTTACAGGTTTATTGAAGTATAATTGAGATGCAAAAAAAAAACTACACATATTTAATGTGTATAATTTGATGAGTTTGGGCATCTAAGTTTGGACCTGTCATACAAAGTAATAAATACATCCATCACATCCCAAAGGTCCCCTGGGTCTCTTTGTGGTTGTGGTGGTGAGGACATTTACCAGGAGATCTATTTTCTTAACAAATTTTTGGGTGCACAATACCATATTGTTAATTATAGGTACTCTGTTGTTCAGCAGACCTCTACAACTTGCTCATTTTGTGTAACTATGATTTTATACCCTTGGGACAACTCTTCCTTGCCCCCTCCTCCCAGGCCTTGGCAACCACCATTCTATTTCCTGATCCTACAAGTTTGACTTTCCTATTTCTCACATAAATAGAATCATGCCGCATTTGGCCTTCTGTGACTGACTTACTGCCTTCAGCAGAATGCCCTCATGGTTCATCTACATTGTCACGAATAGTAGGATTTCCTTCTTTCTCAACACTGTATTGTGTGTATGCACCACTTTGTCTCTATCCTTTTGTATGTGGATGGACACTTGGGTTGTGTCCATATCTTGGCTGCTGTGAATATGCTGCAATGAACGTGGGGGCACAGATGCCTTCTCAAGATCCTGGTTTCACCTTTTCAAGATATATACCCAGAAATTAGATTGCTGGATCATGTGGTAGTTCTATTTTAATTTTTTGAGGGGTGTCCATACTCTTTTCCAAGTGGCTGTATGGTCTTACATTTCTGCCAACAGTGCCCAAGGGCTCCAATTCCCCCACAATCTCACCAACACTCTTATCTTTTGTTTTTTAATCACAGCCATCCCAACAGGTGTGAAGTGCTTCTTCTATCTAGCATAGTACTGGAAGTGCTAGCCAATATAATTAGGTAAGAAGAGGAAACAAAACACATCAAATAGGAAATGAAGAAGTAGAATTATCTCTGTTTACAAATAACATGATCTCACACAGAGAAAAACATAAACACTCCACAAAAAACTGTTATAACAAATACATTCAGTAAAGGTGCAGGAAAAGAAATCAACATACAAAAATCAGTTATGTTTCTATTTACTAACCACAAATGATCTGAGGAAATTAAAAAAACAATCCCATTTAAACTAGAATACTTAGGAATAAACTTAACCAAGGAGGTGAAAGACTTGTATACTGAAAACTATAATACATTGATGAAAGAAATTAAATAAGACATGAATAAATGGAAAGACATCCCATATTCATTCTTTTACTATTGTTAGAATATCCATACTACCCAAAGTGATCTGCAGACTCAATGTTATGCACATCAAAATCCTAGTGACATTTTTTACAGACAGAGAAAACATTCCTAAAATTCATATGGAACCACAAATTATCCAGAATAGCCAAAGTGACCTTGAGAAAAAAGAAAAATGCTAGAGACATAACACTTCTTGAATTCAAAATACGTTACAAAGCTACCAATGATTTTAAAAGTACATTCCTGGCACAAAGATAGACATATAGACCAAGAAAGCAAAATAGACAGCCCAGAAATAAACTCATGTACATATGATTAACTGATTTTCCATGTGTGTGTGGATTGATTTGAAGCTTGTTGGCTGAGTCTTCTTCTCACAATCTTCTCCTCACAAACATCCCTTTAGTGCACTCCCTGATTCTGCCTTAAAGAAATTCCCATTGCAGTTAGACATACACCAAAAGTCTCTATTAAGAGGGAGATGGTGATTGGTAGGAAGGGGTAGGTGATTAAGCAGGAAAGGTTTCCCTCTGGCTAGTCAGGAGAGGAGCTAGCCTGTGATTACATCAGTGTGGTTTATACTATCCCTCTAGGAAAAGTAAGTAGAGCCATCAAACACCCCAAAGCTTTGTAAGCTGTGAGCAAGGGAAAATGGAGCCAGGGCATGAAGGCAGGAGGCACACTGCCCTCCATGAGCATGTGGTATTAGGCGTGCCTGCAGCCAGAGCCCACTAGCAAAGCGGGTCCGCCAGGGACATGCTTGGGGCAGCAATTCACAAGAGGCATGAGGCATCACTGAAATAAATGCAAAATGATACCAGGTGGTGTATCTATATGTAACTCCAAAAGTCACTATTGAAAAGCAGAGTATTCTTTTCTTCCTGCAGTAGCTGATGCCCTTAAGAACAACTTTATAAAATAGATAAAGTGTTTGTGACTGACCATATCTTACTATATAGTTGTTAATTGATACTTAAAAGACATCAGTTTGAAGGAGTTCTAAATTACTTTCCTGCCTGAGGTGCTTACACCCTGCTCTAAATGTTTTTAAAAATTATTTTTAGTCTCAGGAATAAATGTAGTAATTTTAGTTTCAGGCTCTGGGAGAACAAAGGCAGACGTCCTATTATTAAACAAGTAGTGACCTCCATAGCAGGATTTTGGGGCAAATTGATATAGGCAGAACTAGAGAACAAAAGAATAAAGAATAGGACATTAAATTAAGAGATGTTAGTATTTAAAAAATGAAATCAGAAGCACATGATTTTAAAGAATAAGTCTTTGGCATGATTTATTGAAACTGTGGACCTTGGAAGTTTTAAATAAACAAAGAGTGATAGAATAGCCCATTTGTTCTTTCTTGTAAAGGAAATGAGGATGAAGATGTTCAAAGTCATTCAGCTCTCGGTATCTTTGTAAGGTGTGTGTTATATTAATGTTCTTTTGATTTCTTTGTGTTGTACATATGATTTTTAAACAAATAAATATATGCACACACTTTGCAAACTCAAATGTAAACCTTACTCATGGTAAGGTTTGTGCCAAGTTCAGAAATCTCTTTTCCACATCTTCCCATCCACCAGAGGTCTCTTGTGATTTGAATTACGTGCTCATGTTTGTTCTTGATTCTCTTAAGTCTTGGCATTATGATGGACTGCTTATCATCAAAAGTGACCATTTTTTTTCTCTGCCCTCTTCCATACATACTCACAATTCCTTTTCCTCAATCTCTCAATGTGGCTATATAGATTTAGCCTAGATTAATATTCAATTATTATATTGTTATGAATGTAAATATTATTCACAATTAAGCCCCATAAAATGCAATGATTTCATTTTCTTTCCCAAATGCTCTATTTTTCCTGGACTTAATGATTGTTGTGTGTGTTTGTGTGCATGGTTTTCTATATACTTATTATTTATTTATCCCTAAACTGTAGAACTGTAAAACTTCTCACGGAATATCAGGAAATACGAAAGTGTGCCATTTTATATTTTTCTTAGAGATTATGGCAGAGAGATTGCAGTGAAGGTCCCAGTTTTTCCCTGTATCCATGCACTTTGACAGCATTCTCCCGCCCTGACTCTGGGTTTGGTTATAGGCTTTGCATTGACCTCTAGGCATGCAGCAAACTTGATTCAAGGAACAGCTTGAAAATGTGCTTGTGCATTTTGTCTTATGAGATTATTCCTTGGTCAGCTTGCTACTAAGATAAGAGAGAGAGAGAAAGATATAAAGGAGAGCTTAGCTGTCCTGCCAAGACCATTAGAGCATAGTCAGCCCCAGCCCACCTGCTTGCTGACTACACGCATTAAGGCTAGTCAACATCAGACTGGTCTAGCCCAGAAATGCAGAACTTCTCGGCTGGTCTATGGATGTGTCAGAAATAATAGATTTTTTAAAGCAACTAAGTTTTGGAGTGTTTTGTTCAACAATATTCATTGAATACACAAATGTTCTTCTTAGAGATTTTAGTTTAGATCCAAGCTTGACAGTGATCCCTTCGCCTGCTGCACAGCTATTATCCTGGGGAATCCCATTACCGTCCTGGCACTTCCTTTGACTGTATCCTACTTTGGGACCCTTTTCCTGGATCCCTGACACTTTGTGTTTTATTTCCTCCCTCAATTCAGTAGAGCACATTCCCCATAAGCATTTTAAGAAAGCACAATAGAAGGATTTAAATATTTAAATACATACCAAATCTGAAAATACTGGTTCCTGTCCTTTAGAACCAATTTATAGTTTAAGCAAACAAAAAATTATAGTTTAAAAACAATCATTCCTAAGAATTTTGAGGATACTTTCTCCTAACTTCTAATGTTATTAAGAAACATTTCTTACCTTTTGAAAGCTTTTCAGCTCTTATTTTCATTCCAAAGTTCAGAAATTTCATGATGCTTTGGTATAAGTTTTGTTGAGTTTGGTATGCTTTGGAATAAGATTTATTTATTTTTTATTTATTATAAAAAACACTTAATTGCTTGCCACTATTTGGAAAATGATTTTTCAGATCCAGTATTTTTAAAAATATTATTCCTTTAATAATTTTCCTTCTATGTTCTCCCTCTAGAATTCTTAGTTTTCACATGTTAGACCTTCTGGATTAACTATTTTTTGCCAATTTTTCATCTTTTTATTTAAAATTTTATTTTCTGGGTGAATTTTCACACTATTTGAGCATCTCCAATGGATTTGAAATATTTCTTCCATATTATATTTAATTTCTCAACGCTCTTTCTTATTCTTTGAATATGTCTTTTAAAAGTCAGTCTTCCCTTACTGGATGTATGTCTTCTTTTATCTCCCTGAAAAAATTAGTTTTAAAAATGCTTTTCATTTTCTTCTTTCCATTGCCTTTTTCTCCTGCGTGACTTCATTTCTGTTTACTTTCTTAGCCTTCGTGTCACGTGGGAGGCATTCAACTACCTGATCATCTCTGAGTGTTAACTTACATTCAGATCAACATGCTGTCAGCAGTTAAGAACTTGAAAGTTGGCGTAGATTTTGCTGCTGTGAGGCTTCCCTAAAGCGGCCCGGCCACCACCAGACCCGCAGCTCTGCGCCTTTCCTCTTGGGTGCGTTATTTCCCCAGGAAAAACTGTCTTACTTATGCGTCCGGAAATTTTAAGTCTACTTTATTGCTGAGCAAGATAATGGGGTTGGGGTGTCAGCTGGGAACCCGCGCTTTCCCTTGATCTGCCTGCACTGATTAGAGCCTCCGCTCTCCCGGCCGCCCTCAGCTCCTCCCTCCCAGGCAGGGGCATGGTCTCCCTCAGAGGACGTTTCCATAGAGGAAAACTTTCGCTTTCTGCCATTCGGGGTAAAAGGTAATTCTGTGACTGAAGGGCCTCAAGAAGAGAATCTTGGGTGTAATGGCCCCTTATAATCACGTGCAATTACTTTCCTTGCTTCCCCTTTCCCCCACGCACATCCCCTCCTGCCTCTGTTCCCAGACGCTTTCGGGTCCGTTCAGGGGACTGACTGCTCTGGCTGGTCTCCCTCCTCCTCCTGCTTCCTCTTACCTGCTCGTTAGCCGCCGCTTCTGCCACCTGCTTTTCAGCTGCCACAATACTGAAGACCTCTCACATCTCCTACTACCTTTTCCCATTTCTTCATCCTTATGGGACTATGCTGTTATTTTTATTTTTTTCTGCCATTTTTGTAGAGTTTGTGGGAGGTGCACGTTTTCTATATGCTATATTTAGTTTATTAAAGCTTGAGTTCATGCCTACATAACAATTCATGTAATTATAATATAATCCCCATTACTGTCCCTAAATGAAGTCAGACTTTAAATATTTCTTGAGAATTTCACAAACTTTAGGAATAGCAATAATTATTTATTTGAAAGTACAGAAAAATATTAAATATTCCTCTAAATAAGCTGCTTTTGTGGCTCATAGAAGCTATGAAGTTAGAAAAATATTTCATGTGTCCTTGAAAAAAAATTTTTTAGGATGGATTAATTCTAGGAAAACAAATGTACAAAAATCTTATCTGTTAAACAAGATTTAATTTTACCACTATGAAATAATAAATATGTTAGCTTAGTTTGCACATGTCCTTACCTAACAAATTTGGGAGCAGTGACTATTCTAACCTACTATTTCCTTTGTGAATAACGATCTCTCAGAACTAAGTTAATGAGGTAAGTCTTGGTCATCTCTTCATTAAAGCTTTAAGGAGCACCCTTTAGTGTCTTCCAGTCTCTCTATTTCCCTCTTCCAGATGCTAAATGGAGCAGAATATTACTGTCATGTATGCAATAACCAAGCATTACCACCTCCCTCCTGCTGGATTTTGCTCAGCTCTTCAATCTAATGGCATATCAGCTCTTTTGGCCTCTGACCCCACACCTATTAGGGGCTGTGTCATCCACATTGTCCTGCTTCATCTTATGCTCTGTGGAAAATGATAGTGAAATATGTGTAGATACGTACTTGTAACATCTGTATCTCAAATGTATAGAGTTATTTACCAATTATGTAAACTTGTAGAAATAATGAGTGCCACATAACATCTTTAAAAGCATAAAAAGTCCATTTTTATTTGTTTAAAGAATATAGACAGAGACAGAAGCTCCGACCCATACTCATGCCATCACCGATGTCTCTTAACATCATTCAACTCACAGCAGTTTAGAACTTCAAGTGTAGCTAAAAGCATTATCAAAATAAATAATAAGCATAGACATAAAAATTGAAAACAGACCGTTTAATTTTACTAATATAAGCAAAATGAAATGCCATTTGAATGAAATTCTTTTAGACATTAAAATAAAGACCAATCGTCCAAGTATACACACACACACATACACACACACACACACACACACACACACACACACACACACACACAGGAAATTTAAAGGGGTGATCATGAAGAGTCTACCAGCAAGTTGATGTTGGCAAAGAGCCATTTTCATAGCTGTGTGGAAGTTACAGGAAGCAGAAAGTATTTAAAAATAATGTTTTCAAAGCTGTAATAGCTTTTATCATTTTTACCTTTTATCATTTTCCCATATTATTATATGAGAAGATAAAGAACCAAATATGAGTTTCCTTTCTAGAAATAGCCAAAGAACTACAAAATATTCTATAAAGCCTATTTTTGACTTAAAAAATTATATATGTTGGTCAGAATTGGATATTTAAATGTGGTCTCTGACCTCTCCATTGTTGAAAAAAGAGAATTTCTAAAAAGTAAAGATGCCTTTGGGATTTTTCCCCCCTCTATTTACTCAGAGTATTTTACCGATTGGATGAAAATGTATTTATACCTTAGATTATGCTTTTATCTTCCCTAATAGATTTATTTCTCTCAAAGGAACTCTGCTTTAAAATTTTTCCTTTTCAAAACTATTTATGAACTTCAAAACATGGCCTTTTTAGCATATTTCTTTTATATTCAGTATAACACTGAATTTCATCTGTGATTTTGTAGTTTATCGTGGCTCTATTAAAAAAATGCTGTCTTATGAATGCTTCTTTTTATATATATAGATGAAATATTTGGTAAGTGGATTTTCTTTAACTTTAAAATTGCCAAAAATATTTCTATATGCAAAACTAAAATGCAAAGTATAAGAAAATATCCAAGAGTTGCCCCAAACCCATTGTTTTTCCTTCTTATATTTTCCTTTTTCTTGATTTGCTGACCCTGACATTTTGTATTTAGCTCTAAGAGTATTTCTCCAGTTTATTTAGGTAAGATGAGAATCAATTCTTTATTGATTAGGAACTTTTAAAATATATTTTGTCAGTTGTACCAAAGGTATTTATTTATATTACTGGAGTTAAGAGATGAAAGTAGTAACTTCCAGGTTAACAGGAAGTTGCTGAGGGATGGGGACAGAGGTGTACAGAGCAGAAGGCTGAGGGCCGGGCCTTGCACAACACATTGTTTTTTTCTGCTTGGTCATATTCCCTCTGTCCTAGTCTTTCTGTATTTAGTTAAGTCATTTCATCCTACTTGCCTCTCGAGCTGCATGAACCAGGAATGACTGTGAGCATCTTCAGAGTAGGAAAGTCCAAAAAGATGTTTCTGATTCAGTGTTCACTGCCTCGTCTCGATTTGAGTTGTCAGGAGTACATTCTGGCTGAAAGTGAACACTTCACAACAGCATGCTTTCTTTATCAGCTATTTTTTAAATTTATTCAGTAAATATTCATTGAACAGACCTCTACCTTGTGCCAGGAATTGTATAGAGTACTGGGAAGATACACAAATAAAAATCTATTTTTATCCTTCACTATGGTATTTTCATGGGGATGAAAATAGAAATACTTAAAAAATACGGTGGCAATGTCTGAATTGACTCTTTTGGGCTAACTGGTGGTTTGACAAAGAGAATGGCCAGAAATTTCAAGCCTGGAAAGCAACATAAACCAAGGCCTAAAGTATAAAACAGGTTGGTATGTATCAGAAACTTCCAGTTGTAACATTGTTGCATCACAAAATGTCAACCTATGGACAATGGATGATGAGGATAGACAAGTAGCTGGTGGTCACCAGGTGGGTAATGTATGCCCCTTGAGAATTTTAGAATATATCCACAGAGATAAAAATCACTCAAGTTTTTTTTGTAAGGAAGAGAATTTTTTAAATTTGGCACTCAAGATAGTCTGCTGTGGAGAATGGATTTTGGACAACATGGAGTGTAGAAAAAGAACATTTAGAATGTCTCACTAATAATCTAGCATAAGGTTGTTGAGACTGAATTGTGCCATTTTTATCTTTCAGCTAAATTTATTGAGCACTTTCTTCATATTAGGTAATATCTTAAATCCTTGGAATATAAAGTTAGGCAACCAGACATATTCTCTGTTCTCAGATTTTTATACTATGATAACAAAATAATCACATAATCAGGAACTGGCGAACAGTATCTCTTAGGTTGAATTTGGCCTTCAGCTTTGTATGTGTTGAATTATGTCCTCACCAAACATGTCAAGTCTTAATCCCCAATGCCTTAGAATGGGACCTGATTTGGAAATAGGGTCTTTACAGAGGTAATAATGTCAAAACGAGGTCGTTAAGGTGGGCTGTAACCCAATAGTGTGCTATCCTTATGAAAATGGGAAATTTGGACACAGAGAGACATACAAATAGGAATGTGATATGTGTGTCTGGAGCGGCATATCTAGAAGCCCAAGAACGCTAAGGATTCCACAAAATACCTAGACTAAGCAAGAAAGTGATTCTCCTCTAGAGGTGCCAGAGAGAGTATGGCACCAGGACACCTTGATTTCAACCTTCCAGACTCCAGAAACGTGAAATATTAAATATCTATTGTTTTTTAAGACACTGTCTTATGGTGGCTCCAGGAAACTAATATGTATCTGTTTTTGTAAATACAGTCTTCCTAGAAACTAGCCATATCTGTTCATGTTTGTTTGTTTTTAATTTACTGAACAGCAGAGTCCAGTAGTTGTGACAATGACTCTATACTCTATGGCCAAGAAAGCCTAAAACATTTGCTAAAAAGCTCATTATAGAAATGGCTGCTGCTCCCTGGCACAAATGAATATAAAATTCAACCTGAATCAACTGTGAAGAGAACTGTGCTATAAGAATGTGCAGTCAAGGAAAGGAGAATGTTGGCATTAAGGTAGACATCTCAGAAAGGTCCAAGCATTACTGAGCATTAACCAGGTAAACATGGCAGAGGAAGGATTTTAAGTCAGGATAAAACATAAGTGTTGTAGCCAGAATTACTCCAAAGCACAGCCTTTGAGGTAAATGCTTGCATGAAAATATTTTATCAGGACGTGATCCCCAGGAACAGAAGCCAGGGGTGGGGGGAGTGAACAGGCAAGGAGGAAAACCCCAAGTGCCTCACCCTGGGGGTCCCACTGGAGCCTAGTGCAAGAGCTTCTGAAGTGCACCTCAGTCGAGTGTCAAGCATTGGCATCAGAGAAGACACTGGACAGGAAGAGAAAGATGCCTAAATATTAGCATCAGGTCAAGGCCAACACTAGGTGCTGTCAGACACACCTGTGGGAAGCTGATCAAGGCATGCATGGACCAGGTCACTGCAGGGGACGATGCAAGAGCTGAAGTGGTGCCCCCATGG